GCGAATGTTCTGGAATTCTCAGCGTCGGCTGCAGGCTCTCCCGCACATGATAGATCACGTACCCATGAACCTCCAGTTTCGTGTGCCAGCACCAACACCGCACCAGCAGCAGCAGGGATGTGCATGGGACTGGGGAGGGCTAGCAGCAGCACTGCAGAACGGGTATCGGAGGGAGGAGTTCATGAGTCAGATTTGCCAGGCCTGGACAGCATACCGCCCCTTGTGTCGAGCTCTCACCATGGACGGGGAACCTACTCGACACGCGGGGGTGGTCACCCAGATCATCCGACAGGCTGCTGTGACAGTATTCTCGGCAGAGAGATCGACGCCCGCGTGGGTCACCGAGGCGAAGGAGGAGAGGGGGGGGTTACTTCGACAGCGGGCCGAACTGCGAGACCTTGGGTTCGAACTCTCGGGCGGTCTCCTCCGACGTCTCGATCGCCAGCTTCGATCGCATCGACGATGGCAGGAGAGGTGGAGGAGGGAGTCGCTCGAACAGGAGATCAGGGAGGCGTGGGCGGTTCGTGACCAGGCTCGGGTGGGATACCTCATCAGGCTTCGGGCGGGCGCCAACATTGGACCTCGGAAGAGATGCTATCTGGCCCTCCCGACGAGTCGCCCCAGCGCCGAGGACTTCAGGAAGGCGATGGGCCTACCAGCTGTCGAGGGGGGTCTGACGACGACAAACGCGCACATGAGCAAATACATGACCTCTGAGGCCGTTCAGAAGCTCCTGGATACCCCCCTCGAGGACCTCCCTGCCTACGGACCCCGACTCGCCCTCCCGACCATTGAGGACCGCGAGAGGGCTGCAGAGGACCTAGAGCTCGTCAAGAAAAGGATCCTTCACAGCACCCATCGTAGATATGCACCTCCGTGGTCGTGGCCTGTCGAGATATCTAAGTTGCTGCTATTTCCCGCCCTTCTGTTCCGCCCAGGGTACTCCCAGGAAGGCATGGGTTCCACGTGGAGACGACATGATCCCGACCTTCTGGATTTCGAGGCACTGGCGGCCACGACCCGCGTCCGGAGGACGATCAACATTGACTCAGAGCACGCGCAGGTGGGTCACGACATGTTCGTACAGTTGTTGGCACACATACGAGCACGAGCACTTCTACCCCAGCACGCCCGGGTCAGTCATGCTATCGCCATCGGCAAGCCAGGCAAAACCCCGACGGGAAACGACGTCACTGACATTACAAAATGCTTGCGTATACTGCATTGTTTCTGTCATTGGTGGCGAGTACTGCTACGTGTCGGGCTAGTAGATTTCGGCAGTCGGTTTGACCCCCCTCCCTGGGCATACGGCGGCATCATCCATAGGCGGAGGGAGGGACTCATGACCATCATCAAACTCATCATGTGGAAACTTCGACGGTGTCATCATTATTATCTGGTCAAGTCGTATGATATGCGCAACGCCTTTGGCACGGGCATGCACGAGCGCTTGTTCAACGCACACAGGTCACGGGGAGTTGACGAATGCTATGACGAGTTACTCACGCACCACAGGAGCACGGGCATTTTATATTATCAAGCACGTGATGGTGACGTCAGTTTACATCCCACGACGGGGGGCAGAATGGGAGACTCTAACGAGCCTGAGCTATTCATGGATGCATTCTACCCTCTTGTTAGTATGTGGCAGCGAGAGTTGAACACGATAATCGGCGACGATTTGCTATGCCATGACCCCTTGCACGAACCAGGAGATCACGTAGGTGACACATCTGATCCCAGCGGTGCAAATATTGATGCCTCGTTCGGCGGATTTATCGACGACTTGATTCGTGTGATCATCGTTCCCACGGGCACGGTGCAGGAGGCGCTGCAACTAGATTACTTGGACAATCGCATCCTAGATAAGCGACTTCAGGAGGGCGGGTGCGCCCAACACGTCGACAAACAGGAAACCCTCGTTCATCTGGCCACGGCTAAGGACACGAAGGAAGCCGAGGCACGGATCTCAGGAAAAGCCATGACCAACCTTATCCACTTGGGCGGGTTCATCCACGTTCAGGGCAGTAACAGAAGAGAGATCAGGGCACTCATTAGAGCAGGGTCTATCGGGTGGAGCAATCTTCGGCAGTACTGGTTCACGGCGGGTCCTTGGCGAAGCATGCGCAGCACATTCCTAGCTAATGTAGCGGGCAGAGTATGGTCGGGTCTGGAGGCGTACGTGCTTACCACGAATGAGCTTAAGGACATCGACACGTCACTAGCCAAGAAGATGCGAGCTATGTTGCACGGGCGCGCGCATGTTGAGCACGGGGACGGCGCGCACACATCCTGGACGACCAAGCAGATTTTCGAAGAGTGGCGAATCCCGCCGACTGGAATCGAGCTTATGGTCCGTCGTCTTAGATGGTGGCAGTCCATCGCAGGGAACCCCGAACACCACCGCCATTATCTTAGTATTTTCTTTGGAGATTGCCGATTTGAGCGACGAGCCAGAGAGGCGGGCAACGAGGTTGCAGATGCCACTGTCTTGCCGAATGGGGAGCTTAACCCGTCTCCACACATCCACCCGTGGGCCCTCCAGTTTTCTCAGGACCTGAACGCGGCCCTGGCCCACCCGACTGGTGAGGAGCTCAAGGAAGTCTGGCAACCCCGTACGATGGCCAATTTCTTTGGGAACCCTGAGGTCACCGAGGCTTTCAGATATTGTGATTTTCGAGCGATGAGAACGACGGCATGGGCACGCGAATGGGCCCCACCTGAATTTCTCTTGGAACAATTACCGAAGGAGGGGGAGGAGGTGGGGGACACGGAGAGTGACGAGGCCGAGCTGGCCCCGCTAGTTTGCGGGATCGAGGGCTGCCGAGCACGTTTCGCCACCAATAGGGAGCTCGTCAAACACCAAATATGGGCCACGACGCTCCCTGGACACGGCACCCCCCCGATCTTGTCCGTCATTACGCTCGACAATAAATGCCTTAGCTGCCAGACGATCTTCGGCAGCGTGGATCACACGCGGAGGCATCTCAGTGGCGCGTGGAGAGCAGGCAGGTGTATTCAGAATCTCACTCGCCACTGTTATGATTGGACCCCGTCTGCTGAGACACGCTGCCCGTTGGCTGAAGATACGGATCAACCAGAGTGCCAGGAACAGTACGACGACCCAGCAGAGCTGCGGGCACACCTGGCCACACACATTCCTCATGCATCCGTAGGGTTTCGGCTCACAGTCACTCAGCCTCAGCCAGCGCGCAGTGTCCGCGCCCCAGCCGGCGCCCCCAGGCCAGGCGCGCCACCGCCGACCTTCGACGACCTGGACGACACTCCCGACCTTCGTGCAGACCTGCGCGCAGCGTTTCGTCAACTTGCTGCACGACGCCAGGCTCGGAGACGGGCACGAGAGGGACCAGTGCGACGACGAGTGGCAGCTCGACCTCCGCCGACCTCTTCTTCTTGGCCACCCACCTCGGCATCTTCGCGGGTAACAGCCGCGAGCACACCGCTACTGCGACCTCGCCAAGCACCGCCTGCTGAACCTCGAGCACCACCTGCGCGAGATGTCGGGCGGCGCGGCGGCAGCGGCGACGGGCAGCTTCCAGGAGCCAGGCCCCCCTCGGCCGAGAGCAGCGTGGCGGACGGCCGCCCCAGCGGCATCCTCCCAGGCGTCTGGGAATTTTGGCGGCGACTCCAAGCCTCCCGACCCGAAGAAGGGAAGGAAGGGCGACAAGGACAGGGACACAGCCATGGACGACGCCAAGGGGGAGCTGCAGAAGATCCTCGACGGCAAGGCTGGAGGCAAAGGACGACATCGAGGAGGCCGCCGTCATCGCCGAGGCGGCCACGCGGAGAAGAAGTGGACGAGCAAGGACGCGAACATCCAGCAGTGCTTGGCCGCGATAGCCAAGCTATCCCTCCAGACAGCGCAGCGGCAGCGCCTGACGATGGCGACGGTGGTCGACACGTTCACGATGCCGAAGGGACACCCGGTCATCACGGCGCTGCAGCAGACGCTGGAGGACTACAGGAAGCAGGTGCAGACCGCGCGCGAGGCAGGGCCAGATCAGCTTCGAGCGGTTGGCAGCCCGACCGCCTCCCTGGCGGTCACCCTTCTCGAGAAGCTGGCCACATGCGACGTGGGCGGCGTGAGCCGCCAGCAGCTCAACGACTACCTCGACAAGATCGAACCGACGACGGGCGAGCCGACCATCACCCGCGAGCAGGTGGAGTTGGACGTGCAGGCCATCAAGATCGAGCAGCCCCACGACGAGAGCAAGGCCAAGCTCCTCATCGCGGGCCCTACGTGGCCCATGAGGGGCACGGTGACGCACGCCTTCAAGGCGGAGGGCGTCGCGACGAGATTCACGGGCGTCATGCCCGCGGGCTGGCTGGAGGACGAGGTGGCGACGTGGTTGGACGTGCTGCAGCAGGGCTGACGACCGTGAGCCGCCGCCCCATCATCTTTGTTAGAGGTGAGACCGTGCCTGGCACGGCGCAGCAGGCTCCCCGACCCACCTCTTCCTCCTTGAAGAGGGAAACTTCAAGCGCAGACTCCGTGACAGCCATCACGGTGCCCGATGCCTCCACATCTCCCCAGCCTGCGGACGGCACGGCACCGCACGAGCAATGTCATGAGGCTGATGAAGAGGCCGCGGCATACCTCTTCGGTTAGCGGGGAGACATTGTTTCTTTTCAAGTTCTCGTCGTGAACTATTCTTGGGCGAATAGATCCAGACACCATGCATCGGAGATAGCTAGGCTGATGCACCACCGTCGGTGCCCTCTCGGGAGATACTGCGACCCGCGGCCTGCCTTTGCCTGCTCCTCGCGTTGATGCGCGGGGGGCGCTCGCCCCAGGCCTGCGTGCTGGACCAAAGTACGGGCACGGAGCGTGCCTGCGACAGCTCGCCGAATCAGTGTATTACACCCGTTTCCAGAGGCATTTGGGCTCCCTCGTCGAGTAAAAAAAGCTCCTCCTCCTCCTCCTCCTCCTCCTCTTCCTCCTCCCCCGAGCGCCGCCGCTCCGCGCGCGCCGCCAGCAGGAGTCTGTCCGTACGCAGTCCGCCTCGCAGGGCATCGTCACCTCTCTCTGACTTCGACGGGCAGGGCCTCCTTACGGAACTCAGGTCGGGGGGAGGAGAAGCGATACCAACACCAGGGGGCCCACCGCCAGCGAGGAGGTCCATGATGCCTCTCCGAGCTGGAGGCTGGGGATGCCTCGAGCGAGAGGGACCGCCAGGGAGTTCCCCCTTGCCTCCTCGCATCTCCTCGCCCTGTTGGTGTTGGTGTCGCCTTTTCTTGTTCCTACTCAGGCCGCGGAGCGGCCCCCGGACCTGTCTGACCTCTTTGATCTAGCCTCTCTGCGGCGGCGAGCGAGGGGGGGAAGTCGGAGGCGGATAGACCTCCTACCCTGACACTTCGATTCAGGAACTTGCCGTTTTCGGTTTGCAAGAGGGCGTCGCGGCCGTCATTTTTGCGGGTCCAGGTCCGTCGATTTCGGTCCCAGGCCGTTTTCATTAAGGGGAGGTTTACCAAAGGGAGGTTTGTCCACCGCCGAGGAAGTGAGAAGGGGAAGGCCTTCTCAGAGGGCGGCGGGGCTTCTCAGGAGCCCTCGCGCCTTCTGAGACTTTTTCTGTGCACACTCGGAGGAAGCTGAGAGAGCTTCTTTCGAGGCCGGGGGACTCCCGAGCCTTCTGAGAAGGCCCGCCCCTTCTCAAGCAGTGGCGAAGCGTCCTGGCGTGCCTATAGTAGTATCAACCAATGTTCTAAGAACCTTTTGTGGTTCCCACGAAATGTTATTAGAACATTTCTGGTTGGGACTGTCTTGTTTTATCACATCTGGTTTATGTTCTAAGAACATTGTTTTTGTTCTTAGAACATTGTTTGGGTTCTAAGAACATTTCGTGGTAGGACTATAGGAGTGCCGGGACGGTCGGTCCCTGCTCAACTTATCTCGAGGACGATCTCAAGGATTCCCTCGGTCTCTGCGGGCGAGCCCTCACTATTGGAAAGAGCATGTCCTACCGCCTTCCCCCCCCGGGCGCGCCGCCGATCTCTGCTCAACTTCGCCTTCCCCCCCGGGCGCGCCGCCGATCTCTGACCTCGACGGAGCTCCGGCCTGGGAGCGGCGCCCCCCCCCCCGGGGCGCCCGCTGCGTGCCCTACAGAGTGGGCCGCGGGGCCCCCGGGGGCTCTCGGCCGCACGTGGCTCTGAGGGGCTTCAGGGGCCGCGCCTCCCGGGTCCCTCGGGGGGCGCCCACGCGAAAGAGAGGGGGGGATTCGTAGGCCTCCCAGACGTCAAAGAAGGAAAAGGTACCCATACCTCTACCCCCTCGCCCGTTTTCCCGGTTTGGGGCCTCCTTGGAGGCCCTCGTCGCCACCGCTGGATTCGCCTCGGAACCCTGGTCAGAACGCACCCCTGGAGAGGTCCGGGGAGTAGTGGTATCGGTACCTTCTGGGTTTCCCCACCAGAAAATAGTCAGGGGATGATTTTTTGAGCATTCTCTGATTACTTTTGAACGTTTTTGGGGTATTTTTGTTTTTCGTGCAAAATCCCCCCGGCTCGCGCCGCATCGCCGAGGCATCGCCGATGCATCGCCGATGAGGCTCGACGTGGAGCCCGATCTTCGCCTGGCCGACGGCGCCGATGCATCCCCGACGCGGTGCAATCCTCCGACCCCGTCCACTCGGGCCTTGCGGGGGGCCCCTGTGATACCTCTCCAGGTTTGATCAGGATGGGGAAAAACTCACAGACGCAATTCATCGTCGATCCCCAGGAAAATACGGGAAGATATGGGCAGTGAGGGGGAAGGCAGAAACCCAGAAACCATGGGAAACCATGGGGGATCCTGTGATTCGCGTGTGTTCATTTGCGTGTCCCAGGGGCCCCTTCGTTTGAGGGGGCCCTCTGCTGTCCATGCGTCCCCTGGGCCGCCCGCGTCCGCGCGCGTGCCTCGGGTCCCGATCTGCGCCCCCCCGCCCCCCTCCCTCTCGGGCGCCCCCCCGCGTGGGCGCCCCTTGGCCTCGTCTGCGTGAGCGGCTGGGTGGTTGCCGCGGTGGTGGTTGCTGCTGCTTGCCCGTGCAGCTGCGAACTGCCCAGGTAGGCTTCAGTCGGGCCTGTCCCTCTACAGGGGGGAATGTTCAAACATGCTCTAAACATAGTCGGGATATTCTGATTTGACCATGTTTGAGTGTTTTTGTTTTGTTTTGTTGGCACTCTTGGTGTATCTTTAATTTTTCGCCCAGAATCCCCCTTTAGGGGGACAGGCCCGACTTAAAGGTAGGCCTACTCACCAGATCGTAATCTGCACGCTGGTTGGCTGGATTGGCAGGCTGCCCACGCAGGACCCCTGCCCCGCTGGCCACCCTCTGGGAGACTACGGAGTGGCGGTTAGCAGCTTCGGGCACGTGTTTCTGACGCTTCGAGCTGGTTTTGCACACTGGCGCAACCACCACCGCCCCAGTCACCGTGCTTCTGTAGCACGTGGGGGCCTGTATGTCCTCGAAGCTTCGCCTTCAGCGAGCATTAGCGTCCGCCAGCGTGCGGTAATTGATGAGAGAGCGCCGCTTCGGCGTCGATGTGGCGCCGCTCGGCGTCCGTTAGCGTCGACTCGCCGGTTGGCGTCGATTTGGCGCCGATCAGCGCCGGTTTGGCGTCGATTTGGCGCCCATCGGCGTCGGTCGGCGTCCGTTCGCGTCGACTCGCAGGAGCCATCAAGATGACATCGGGAGGCTCCCACCAATTGCCACCGGGCCACTCCGTGGGCCTGGGAGAGCCCGCCCCCCAGGGCTCGGGCCGGGCGCGCCTCCGCCGCGGCCGTCCAGACGCCGGCGGCCCCGCAGAGGCCGCGCCCCCGCGCTGTGCTCCGACCTCCGGCCTCCCTCGGGCGGCAAGGACGAGCGCAGACTCGCGGCCTGAGGCGCATCCCTGCCCCCGTGATTGGCATCGCCTTACGCAAGCAGTGGCGAAGCGCCCTGGCGTGCCTATAGTCGTACCAAGCCATGTTCTGAGAACCCGTTTTGTGGTTCCCACGAGATGTTCTTCGAACATTTCTGGTTGGGACTGTCCTGTTTTGTCGCATCTGCTGTATGTTCTAAGAACATTGTTTTTGTTCTTAGAACATCGTTGGGTTCTAAGAACATTTCGTGGTAGGACTATAGGAGTGCCTGGACGGTCGGTCCCTGCTCAACTTATTTCGAGGACGATCTCAAGGATTCCCTCGGTCTCTGAGGGCGCGCCCTTAATATTGGAAAAAACATGTTCTACCGCTGCTGGCGGAAGACCGAGGGGGGTCACTGGGGGATTCCAGCCCGTCCTCCCCCCCCCTCGAAAACTGGGGGGGTCACTACCGGTTCGAACCCCCCCCCGGTCCATCATAAAAAAAGGGGGGTGGTCAACACCGGTTGGAACCCCCCCACCTCCTCGCCGCTTGCGAACGACTCCCGATCCTCGGGTCAGTGGGACAGCGGTGGGGACAGTGGGACAGCGGTGGGGACGGTGGTGGCGGGGACAGTGGTGTGGGGACAGTGGGACAGTGGTGGGGACAGTGAAGACACTGGGACAGTGGTGGGGACAGTGATACAGTGGTGGGGATAGTGGTGAGGGGACAGTGGGGAGAGTGGTTGGGACAGTGGGGACAGTGGGACAGTGGTGGGGACGGTAGTGGTGGGGACTGGTGAGGGCGGTGGTGAGGACGGCGGTGGGACAATTGGACAGTGGTACAGTGGGGAGAGTGGTGGGGACAGGGGGAACAGTGAGACAGTGGTGGGGACGTGGGGACACTGGAACAGCACGGTGCGCCAGCGGGGGGGACTGGGGACAATGGGACAGTGGTGGGGCCAGCGGGGACAATATGGAGAGTGGGACAGTGGTGGGGACTGGTGGCGGGGACACTGGTGTGGGGACAGTGTGACATTGGTGGGGGCACTGGGGACAGTGGGACAGTGGTGGGAACGGTGGTGGTGGGGACACTGGTGTGGGGACAGTGGGACAATGGTGGGGACAGTGGGGACAGGGGGAAAGTGGTGGGGACGGTGGTGGTGGGGACAATTGTGAGGGCGGTGGTGAGGACGGCGGTGGGACAATGGATCAGTGGTACAGTGGGGACAGAGGTGGGGACAGTGGGGACAGTGGGACAGTGGTAGGAACAGTGGGGGACAGCTCAGTGGGACAGCGGTGGGGACAGTGGGGACAGTGATACAGTGGTGGGGACAGTGGTGGGGACAGTGGGACAGTAGTGGAGACAGTGAGACAGTGGGACAGTGGTGGGGACGTATGTGGTGGTGGGGACAATGGTGAGGGCGGTGGTGAGGACGGCGGTGGGACAATGGGACAGTGGTACAGTGGGGACAGTGGTGGGGACAGTGGGGACAGTGGGACAGTGTGAGGAACAGTGTGGACAGCTCAGTGGGACAGCGGTGGGGACAGTGGGGACAGTGAGACAGTGGTGGGGGCAGTTGTGGGGACAGTGGGACAGTGGTGGCGACAGTGGGGACATGGGGAGAGAGGGTGGGGTCAGCAAGTGGTGGGGACAGTGGTGGGGACAGTGGGGACAGTGCGACAGTAGGTGGGGGCACTGGTGGGGATAGCGGGGACAGCGGGCGGACAGTTGGTGGGAAAATCAGTGGGGACTGGGACAGTGGTGGAGACGGGCGGTGGTGCTGGGGACAGTGGTGAGGGCGGTGTGTGAGGACGGTGGTGGGGGGAGCAGGAGTCGTTTGCGCGGCCGAGTGGGGGGAGTGACCCCCCGCTGTATCTTGAGAGGGGGTGGGGGGGATCGAACCGGTATGGTAGGGGGGGGGAGGGGGGGTGGGGGGGGGGGTAGGAGGGAGGCAGGGGGAGGGGGAGGGGGGGGTAGGGGGTTGGCGCAGGGGGGTGGAGGGTTCGAGCAGAGTGGGATTTTCAGAGGGGGCGGGGACCCCCGGTTCTGGAGGAAGAAGGGGGGAATTTTCCACAGTAAAGCGGCGGTGGATCACGCTCTCTCAGATTGACATTGCCGTTGGGCTTGGCATTCTTGGGGATAGGGATGAGTTCGAGGCTGGTTCGCAGAGTGTGCATACAGCAGGTTCGTGTCGTGTCGACGCGGTGGCGACCCCGCCGCGGGCGTTGAACGCGCCATTTGCCCAGAATTGTCCAATCTGGAGCTATCTGGCGATCGGAAAACCGCGGGCCGTTCAGTGTCGAGCGATCCACGCAGTGTCAGAACCAACGCCCAACGCCGGGGTCACCACGACACGAACCTGCCGTATGCAGAAGAGAAGAGAAACCGGTGCAGTCGAGACGCTGAAGTAAGGACCATTCTGGGTTCAGGAGGTGCGCCTATTATCGGGCTGTTCCGAAGATCTGGGTCGAGGGACCTGTTCGTGGGTGAGGCTCGCCGCAGCCTGAAAAAAATCGCCTGCGCTCCTTACTCAGCGCCCCTGATGGTGGCAGGGTGGCTGTACCGCTACCCGTCCTCCGTCGCCCCGTTTGGATTCGCTTCGAAATCCTGGTCAGAATGCGCACCGGGAGATGCCTGTGCAGCAGCGGTATCGGTATCTCTTCGTTCCCCCCTGATCTCCCCTCCTCGGCGCGCCCATTCGCGCGCTGCCCCACCCTCCTAATGTAAATTACCGCCTGCGCGTGCGCGTCCAACCATGCCTCCAGGGTAGGGATGGAGCGGCCTGGATCGGAGGATCGCGCCGCACCGGATGCGTCGGCGGCGCGATCTGGAGCCCGCTCTTCTCCATCTCGCCGTCGCCAGTGCCTCGCCGATGCATCGGCGCTGCGGGTGCGATCTCGGGCCCAGCCTGCTCTAGCCCTACTCACGGAGGTCTCCAGCCTTGCGCAATGACCTCGCAGAGGCGATGGCTGTCTCACCCACCGTGTGCGTGGCGGGCGCAACGCGAGCGCCCGCGCAGTTGGCGCCCTGGTCAGTCTGTGGTGGGCCGCTCCTCGCGAGGGCGGGCCCGAGGTGGTGCGAGGGGGCAGCGCACAACGGGGGATGGGGAGGAGGAGGAGGAGGAGGAGGAGGAGGAGGAGGAGGAGGAGGA